CAATACAGCCTTCCTCTCTGCTGGACACTGGCAAGGTCTTGGCCTTCTACACATCTCCCTGTTAGCCTGGTAGCTGCAGAAATGTGGCTCACATCTCCAAACACAGCATACAAATGGAAGTGGTGCAACATTTCTAAACCTTCACATTTCTGAGCCAGTAATTCTAGGGGTAGAGAGGACAAACCCCAGTGTCTAGTTTTTGAGCAGAGTAGTTCAGTCTTAGCAAACCTTTCAGTGTGCTTTCCTGCAGAGATGAGAGTGATAACGCCTGGGTCATGTCTGAAATTCCTCTCCTGGGGCAGATCCCAGCCTAGCAGAAGTCCATATTCCTCAAGTTGGGCAGAGGAGAGAGACAAGAGCCAGGGCATGTGAGGGAAGGGGCCCATAGGTAGTTACCTGTCCCACTGGTGCTCCCAACATGCTGGTCAGCAAAAGCATCTGGAGTGTCAGCTGGCTTTTGTTGTGCCAGCAATAATGGATATAGGAGGGAACACAGAGGGCTGCCACTGCAGATGCTTGAGCAAGAGATCTGGAGGTACTGGGACCATGAAGCACGGTGGCGACGGGAATAGGGTTTCACAGGAGCTCTAGGGAAAACTGTTGGAATCTCCTTCTCTGGAGATCTTCCAAACCCACCTGGACACAGCCCTGTGCCAGGTGCTCTGGGTGTCCCTGCTGGAGTAGGGGCGTTGGACTAGATGATCTGTAGAGGTCCCTACCAGCCTCAACCATTCTGTGATTGTATGAGACTTGGGAACAAGAATATTGCCTCCATGCACAGAACAACTTGTTGATTCATGTCCTCTGCCTGCCCAGTTGGAAAAACAGTATGAACAAACTTCGAGGCAGCTTTGAGGCCTCTCTGAGCCACAGGCTCTGAGCTAATATCCACCCTTGGCGCCCCTTGTGTACCCTCTTACCAAACTCTGCTGGGATTGCAGCAGCCGTTTCGGGCCGGGGAGCGCTGTTGGTGTAGAGGAACTTCTTTACTCCAAAGGGCTTTAAACGCATGGCCACAGCTTTCCCTTTAAGAGAGGAGTTGAACCCGTGAGATCCCTCGCGCTGCTGCTCAGCTGACCTGCACAGCGGATGGGGCTGTGCTGTGCAGTGGAACACGTTGGTGCCCAGGACCCAAGTCCTGAAGCTCTGTGGGTCTCAGGAGAGCCTCAGCAACCCACCAGCCAGTGTGTGAGTGTGCCAGGGCTCTACAGCCGCTCGTGCGTGGAGACTGAAGAGCTGGGTGGCCAAACTGGTGAAGAATGGGTGAGCAAACCCGTTTCCACATGTCCCTCGCTTCAGGATGCTGGGATGCAGAGGAACTGCTGGGATAGGCAGGCATATGCACTGCAGTCTCCATTCCAACTCCTAGACCTGTTTAGTTTTCATTTAGAAACCAATGAGGAGCCCCGAAGGAGCAATTGCTAGCCAAATGAAGGATGACAGCAGCAAAGAAACCTACAAAGACCAGTTCCTCTCCTGGCACCCTGACAGTGCAGGTGAAAACACCAGATTAGCTTCACAAATTGTCTGAAAGGATAAAAGTTTCACTACGAGCTGAACTGCACCCAAAGGGAGCTTAGTGATCTTGGGCAAGATTGTGATGGCTCCAGGAGGGATACAGCCACAGGGGTACAGCCAAAACTGCTATTCCTCCCATTTTTTCAGGTAGAGATTAAGCAGCTCAGCTATGAATATTTTTTTTTAAATGGAAAATATGGAAAACAGCAAAGTGTGCAAGTCAGATATACATATATATATGTGTATATGTAGTATACCTAATAATTATAATTATAATAATTATAATTATTAATAATTATAAGTGTATGCAGTATACACTTATTCATATATACATATATGAACTATTAAAAAGGGCCAGGCAAAATTTTGCTGTTCTCTATATATACATATACAATGTATAAATGCGGTTTTATATATATAGTGTAATATACTTTTTAATATATAGTCAAGGTATATATAAAAGAAATATGTATATACAAAATTATAAAGGCCATAAAATTAAGAATTTTGAAACTAGCATCTTTTCCGCCTTCCTGTTAAAATTGAAGGTTAGGATTAGAGCCATAGCTCTACTGAAATACTTGTGCCATTTTATGGGTATGACTGTCTCACCTAGAATACACAATGCAGAAATTTTGACCATTTCTGTACAGTCCTGTAGGAAAGTTCTCTAGGGATGTTGTAAACTCACCTATGCGTCCAAGACCTAGTATTCCCACGGTGCTGCCAGTCAGACCATAGCCACACATCCAGAGAGGTTTCCAGCTGCCCCAGCCACCACTTAAAAACAGGAACAAATTTAGTTCAGCCTAAAGCTGTGTGGGTACATCTGCTTTTCCCATGACTGCAGAGTACAGCAACACAGTAAATGCAACAACAAAATGCAACGCCGTTCTTTGGAAAAAGGGTGTGGGAACAGATTATCCCATGGCCAAAGCTAGCTCATCTTAGCCACTTCAGAGAAAACGTCAGAGCATGGAAGCCAGTTAGTCTCCTCAAGAATTTATCCTAAGGCCTGTTAATTTGTGCTGGTGCTCAGAAATTGTGCCTTTCACAAAAAAACCCACATGAGCAGTAACTATTTTTAAGTCAGAACAGCCTCTTTATGTGAAGGAATATTGAGTCCCTACTAAGTGGTGTGTGGTTTTTTTTTTTTTTTTTTTGCCTGGTTCAGTGATATGTTATAATCATAAATGAAGTAAGAATTCATGTCTCTCCTCAGCTTTACACTGGATGTCATTTTACCTGCCCATGTCTTCTTGTTTTTGCCGCATTTGCCGCAAATGACAGAAATTCACAGTTTCTCTCTCTCTTTTAATAGATAGGTTATTTATATGTATGTGTGTGTATAAGTAGAAATACATAAACAATCTATATTTTTATTATTTTATGCACCTTCTCAATCCAGTTCTTCTAGGTGACATCTCTGGTTTGCTCTGCCTCTCCACAGCATCTCCTGCACCATTCTCATTGTGAAGCTTTCAACCCCTTTGTGCATGTTGTGAAGGCTGAATACAGGGCAGTGTAAGGCTTAGCCATGGCATATTTAGAACCGGCAGTGTTTTGATCTCAGCTCTTTTGCTTCTGAATCTCTTTCTTGCTGTGTTTTGACAGCTGTCTTCTTGGCTGTTAATAGAAGTTGCTCCAATGAGGTCATCATGAGCATCCCTACTCCTCACTGCTTTGCATATGCCACTGTCTTCTGCCATCGTATTTCCCAGCTTTTGTTGGTTCCTTATGAAAGGAATCACACAATCTACAGTCTCCTTCAGTCTTTCTAATCCGAATAAATCATTTTTCACCTCTCCTGGCTCTATTGCAGTTTACTTCAGCCCAAAGTTTCAGATCATTAAAAAGATTTCTCAGTCTCTCACTTCTAACCTGCAATCTTTCTTGTCATCTTGGCACCATGGTGAAAACTGACCTGTAAATTTTGTTTTTACTATCATCTGGTTTGTTTCAGACTGCAGACAACTTTATGTGTGGAAAACTCTGAAGAAATTTGCAAAATATTTCTTTCCTTTTTTTTTTCTTTTCTTTTTTCTTTTTTTTTAAGGAGAAATAACAGAGATGATCAGATTCTACCTTTTTCCTGCACTTTTCTGGCATTGGGCAGACTGCAGGGGCAGTGATGACTCTGTAGTCTTCAAAGACAGGTCTAGAATCATCTCTGTTTGCTGTACTCTTTTTGCCTTAGCGGCTGTAACATTTATAATATAAAATCTGTAAAAGCCCTGGTTTGGAATAAACCCCTAGAACACTTTCAGCTTTCTGATTTCAGGGGGCTGTTCCCAACATTTTGATGTTGCTTTCTTTTCTTATGGTGGGCTCAGTATGAAAAAAAATAAAACCAGCAAGCAGTTTGAATAGGGAGGTAACTAATAGCTACCTCTTTGCTTCATCCACAGCTTCCAGGAGCCGACGAGATGTTGCCAGAAGAAGAGCCACTGTGAGCTCAGCAGCTGCTTCTGTCAGTACATCTGGTGTGTATCCTAACCGGATCCCTCTGCAAGGAAACAGAAATATGACCTACCAGTGATATACACCAGGGGTTTGATAGCATTCTGGGAGTGCATGTCAGGGCAAGATGAAAATAGTGTGTGAAGGGGATGTCTTCTGAGATATAAATCATCCCTAGCAAAACTTCCAGCCTTCACACACAGAGGAAATTGATCTCCATGACAAGAGGGCCGGAGAAGGGAATTGGTGCACCCTGTGTTTGGTCTGTTCAGACTGCTGCTCTTGAGACCACCTGCGTGAACCTGCAGGGGTGGGATGGGCTGGTGACAGCATTGAGAATAGCCCAGACTAAGCAAGACGAGTCTGTGGCCATGGCTGTGTCTTGTTCCTTATCTCAATGGATCACAGTGCTCTGGTCCACAGAGGCAGAGGGGCCAGGAGGGCAACAGACCCTGTAGCTCTTTCCAGGCATGTAAGGGGTGGATGTGCTGTTACTTGTGCCTGGTTTATCATTGGAGAAAATCTTTAACACTTACCTCTTCTTCAGCTCCTCCAGGGAAATATGGTCATATCCCACTGACATGGTGCTGACCACTCTCAGGGTGGGCCCTGTCATTGCAAGATAGCTAGTGGTGAGGAGGTTCCTATGGCAGGACTTGTCTGCCCCATCCTGGATCTATTGCTGGCAAACCCAATAGACTGCTAGAAATAACCATCCTAAGCTAGGACCTCTCAGGCTGGGAGCGTCACCACTATCCCCTTCAGCAGAATAGGACCTGATCAGTCAGTCACTGAAACCTACATTCAGTGACTGCTTTGGTGCAAGGTGTTTATCTTGCCATTTCCACTCACACATGGTGCTCCCTTCCACAACCATTCCTTCCCGATAAGTGGCTGCAGCACAAAAACACAAACCAGGCTGGACACTTGGACACAGCTGGATATGAATGTGAAACTTCTAGTCTTGTCTTAAGCAGATCTGGCTCACCTGCGACATCTGAGCCCTGCTTAACCATCCATACCTGCTGCATCCAGAACTTCAGAATCTATCGTCTCTGACAGCAAACAGTAGAGGCCCTGGATCCCAGGCACTTTCTTCAGGAGCTCTGAGCGGGGAACTGGGTCATCAAAATCCCATTGCTCAATGTGGCAGCTGTGGAGATGGGACTGTGAAGAGGACCAGACATTGACCAAATTCACAAAATTCCTCCAGTGCCCTGCTCCTTCATTCTGTAAAAGCTGGATTGTCAGGTGGGGTAAGAGATTGGCAAAGCTCTGAAAAGGCATTAGAGACCTTGTAAAGATAGTAAAGCTAAGGTACAGAAGGAAGAACCCATAGAGGTGTGCGGTGACATGGGACTTTTTGCTCCACCAGTCATTCTTCCTGCCATTGTTGGCACCTCTGATGACAGGAAGATTTTGATGCATGAAAGAACCTCAGAATGTGGTTCCCTGGGGCCTCTGTAGGCGACAGCGCTCATCTCTCTTGGTTCCCAGTCTGTTGCATCAACCACTGGTCTGTGCTGCCTCTTGACATCTACATACATAAAGACAAGACCTCCCTGCCCCATGGAGAACCACAGCCCCTCCTAGTGTCACGCCACCAAATATATTTACTTCCACACTGATCTTATCCCTCTCTTGTATCTCTGTGACTCCCTCGTAAGCTACAGGCATTATGAGTGGAAGCGTATCACCCACATAGTTAGGTCATTAGGCCAGCAAGAAGCCACACTTACAATTAAATTTTACATTTGAAATCTGGTTCTAGCCGCTAGTCAAAGTCTTTCCCTGATTTTCTTACATTTCTAGTTGGGCTGCCAGCCCAAACCAGAGATACTTTTTTCTCTTTTATTTCATTTTCACTGCTAGAGATTTTGCATATGGATCAAAAATTTGGCACCACTGCTTCAGATTTTGTGACATTCAGAATCTATTAACTAAATCTGCTTTTCCTGAAGGGCAAATATATCAGGGTTGTTACACTATTATCACAAAATTATTTTAAAAACATTTTCAGAGCTTTCCTGTAGGGAGGAGAACATATTGTCTCCACTAGGGATTTCAGCCAAACCAGTTTCTTTAATCCTTCTTAAGGCATAACTAGGATTTTGTGATTAGGAGAGACCAGAACCTTTGGATGATACTGTTTCAAGGAGGAATATTTTAATTTTCATTTTTTTTAAATAAATATGTATTTAATTAATTAATTAATTTTAAAGAGCCACTACCAGTCTTGGAAGGCGTAAAGGTTCAGTAGGAGAAAATTTATAGAACTTGCGGATAAAACTAAGCACCAGTTACTTTTATAATGGCGACTTGGAACAACCCATCCCTAGGCAGGGGCACATTTGTGCCAGCCAAAGGCCTGACACACAGTCCCCAGTCCTCAGCCCGCAGGTAGATTTTGGAGAGCTCATATGCGGGTAGTTGGTGATGACTTCCCCCTGCACTGCTCAGTAAGCAAGCCCAAACTACAGGCAGTCGTCCATCTGCTGGGGTGGTGAAGGGGCAGAAGGGATGGGGCTTCTCACGGATTTTCGCAGCAACAGCCCTTTTTCTGGGAAGACAGAAAAGGTGTCGTCTGCGCCTGGGCAGCTGAACGGCAGCAAGTCACAGCATGATGACTGCAGTGCGTGAGGCTGAGCCCTGTGCCTAGGCCCGTCTTCCCAGGTTGCTGACTCTCTAAATCCTTTAGAAGAGCTCTGGCTCGCAAAATCGTTTTCTGGATATCTTCAAATGAACGTCCCACCTGCCTTGCTGCTGGAAGATGATTTTTTTTGTCTCTTGAAATAGATATTCATCAACAGTTTCTCCTCTCCTCTCCTCTCCTCTCCTCTCCTCTCCTCTCCT